CGGCCACGCACACACAGTGCCCCGCACACCCACTTCCCCGCACCGCTCCGTTTCGGCCCATGGCCCCGCACCACTCGCTGGCTCCGGGCTTTCACGGGACAGCCAAGCACTGAGGGAAAGCAGAGGAAGTCTTGAACCCCTCCCAACACATTTTTTTCACAGCCCCCTCTCTCTTCTTCCTCCCCCCCTCTGCACGCACACAAACCCAGCCACAGGTTTCAGTGCCAGCCCGGGCGGGACACCACCCAAAACCGAAATGAGAGAGAGAAGGGAAAGAAAAACCCAGAAAAAAACTTTCTCTGCACAAAGCGGACTCACCGTGTCGGTGGGTCCGGGAGGTGGGGCAAGTTCTGCAGCACGTTGTGGTATTTAAATACCGCTCGGGGAGAGCAAGCCCGGGCCAGCACGGCCGGCGGGAGCAGCCAGCGTGGGCCGGCAGGGCTCTGCTCCCGGGTCAGGCTCCCGGTGGGACAGGGGGGATGTAAACGTGGGGGTGAACCCCACACGCAATGCTTGGGGGTGTTGTGGTGAGGTGGGGGGCAGCAGCGCCGTGCCCTGGTGCTCCCCACGGTGTGTCCGGCCCAGGTGAGATGGAAGCGTTGCTTGGAGATGCCTGCGGATTGTTTGGCACGGTTCTGGTGAGGGAAGGTTTGCTAGGCTTTGCTTTAATGTGTGCTGAACTCAGGTTCAGCCAAGCAGCTGTAGGTGGTGGGGTGAGGTGGGAGAACAGAGCAGCGGGACTGTGAGAAAGGAAACCACAAGGGCAGCAGCCTGAGCCGATGGGAAGATCTGGCCGCTGGGTGGGTCTGCATGAAGCAGGAGGGTTTAGGATGAGGGTTTGCTTCCCTGAACCCTGCCTGGCTTCTCCTGCTGCTGTGGCCATGGATTTACCTTCTGACCTCATGCAGACTGTGCACCCAGTGGGAGACACATCTCTGCAAGACCTAGACTCCTTCCCCCATAACGGGGCTTCTCAGCTACTGGTGATGCCAGGGTTTGCCCTTCAGGCACAATGTTCAGTCTTTAAAGATAAAGTTACCAGCCCAGCAATGGCAAACGTCCTCAATTATCCAGCAGCCTCTTGGAGCAGATGGCTGAGGAGTTCAGCATGGTCCCTACAAGGCACCTGCTCTCCCTTCCTTGCTCTCCCTGTGCTGGCATTTTGTGCAGGTGCAACAGAAACTGTTGCCTGCATCATCTTATTAGGAGTAGCATCTTATTAGGAGCAAAGAAGACACCTGAGGGCCTGTAGCATCGAGCAGCAGCCACTAGTAGATTGCTTTTGGATGGAGCCAGAGGGAGTCAGGGCTCTGGCAGAGCTGAATGTCTGTTGATGGTGTCTTTGCACACCCCAGCAGTGCTTTGCTTTCCTACCTGTTCCTGTTTGGGATGTGGCTGAAGGGCCATGCAGGATTTATCCATGCTTGGTGCCCATCACTATGTGAGATGGCTGAGATGCCCCACACCTACAGCAGGATTCTGCAGAGAAGGCAAAACCTGGAGGTGAAGGACCCTGCACCCTCAGTTCTTGGGGCAGGAGAGAAGCACAAGGTGATTAATTTGTCTCTCCAGCTGCTTCCCACCATGATCATCAGTTAATTCAGTCCAACAGCCATACCCTGAAAGTGTGGCTGGCTCTGGATGCACATCCTCCCCAGGACTTGTGGGTTGGTTTACAGAGGCAGAGCCTTTTCCACATCAGTCTGGCCTTGCTCCTGAGTGAATCTCTTGTGATCACTGCAGATGGTCTCCAGGTCAAAGTAACAAGCCTAACACCAGATCTGGCCCAAGGAGAACAGCAGGCTCCTTCTGTCTGCAGACAAAGGGAACAATTAAACAAATTTGACATAGGGGTGTCCTTGCACCTGCTGCATGAAAGACCATCAAGGACTATTCACAAATGCTGAAGGAGCTTGACAATGTCACTGCAAGTTTCAGGCAGCAGCAGCTCCATGAAGCCTTTCTGAGGCACTTGGGGTAGTATCCTTAATGCTGGGTGCTCCCTGCACATCACAACTAGCCTGAGTCCCAGTGAGGACTGAGCAATGCTGCTGTAACCCATCCTGGGAACCCAGTGTCCATGCTTATTCCCAAGGGAAGCAGGAAATCATAACGACCTTGGACCTCATGAGCTGGAGACAGAGGTCTGCAGAGCAGATGTAACTCCTGACAGCTAATGCCAAGCCAGGAGGAAACTTTCAACTGAAATCCAAGGGAAAAAAAGGGCACAAATCCAAAACTGAGGGGGCTTGGCCATACAGCAAAGGTCTCAGAGGGAACTCACAGCCAGGATTTACATCCAGATGACATGGAGCCAAAATACTTAAGAGGCAAGATGGGGTCCTCCCACCCTCAGTGGTCTGGAGCCAAAGGAGAGGGGCCAGAAAAACAGCATGAGGGCTGAAGTTGCTTCAGCTGCAGCCTTGCAAGTCCACAGGGGTGAGCAGCATCTCCTGGTCAGGCAGTTACCCCCTCATCTGAGGTTTTGGAAACCTCACAGAGCAGAGAGCCTGGAGCCATCTACGGTACCAGCTGGGGGTGGGGGAGAAGGCAGAAGTCACTTGGGAAAGAGGAAAAGGTCTGAGGGGCAGGTTTGGGGCAGGAGGGATGCATTATTGTGAAGAGGGCATTTGTCTGCTCCGGAGGAAGGAAGAAGGAGATTGGCTCTGCTCCTGCAGGCAGGTGCATGGCTGAATTTATCCAAGAGGAAGGAAGCAGGGAAGGAAGTCAGCCTGGAGTGCTGGGCGGCTCCATCAGACCTCACGGGCAGTCATGGAAAGAGGCCCAACAGCAACGTGGCTTTGCAGGGCTCAGCAGGACACAGCTGCACCGAGAGAGTGGGATTGCAGTGAGCCCCCCAACAGCTGCAGTGCCAGGCTGGGCTGTTCCCAGCCACACAATGCCCTGCAGGGCATGCACCCTGGTAGCACTGCACCCCACCATCCAGGGAGATGCTTGTTCCCAGGCAGGGTTTGAAGGCTCTACGTGCCTGTCCAGCCCTCAAGACACAGCAAAAGTGAGCAGTGGGTTTGCTCTGGTTATTCTCAGAGAGGCAAAGGGCACACCCAGCAATGTTTGCCTTGGATATGCAGTGTCAGAACAGCCAGCTACCCCTCCTTGCTCCACTGAGTCCTGGGCAGGCTCAGAGATAAGGAGGAACTTCCTCAGCCATGGATTAGAGAGGACTGGAGTCTTGCCATTGTCTAAAGCACATTGGGAAAAAAAAACAGGCGCAGATGAAAAAGGACTGGAGTCAGCTTTTTAAGTGAGGGTAAGAACATCATCCTTCAATCTGCACTTCCTTGGCTGCTGCAACAGCTGCCTTTCACAAGCCCGGGTGTCTCTCCCTGCTGACTTGGAGGTACATCTCCCTGTCCCTAACAAGAGCCTCTGGCTGCAAAACTTGCTCCACCGCTCCTGGCAGGAACTGCTGCCACATCCCTGGCCCTGGCTCTCCTCCAGCCAGAGGCAGAGCACAGGCAGCACAGAGGGAAGGAGGTGGCTCCTGCAGCACCTGGTTCAGCTGGGAAGACCCTGGCCCACAAATGGCTGGAAATCACAGGAAAGCGTTCTGGAAAACTATTGCAGGATGTTTGCCCTCCCCAAGGTAGCTCATCCAAGATCCACACCACCAGCCTAGGGGAACTGTTCTCTGAGTGTAGCCTACTGCAATATTATCTATACAGGAGCAACCTGGGCATCCAGGTTTTTAGCACAAAACTCACCACGAGCTCAAAAAGCTGAGCCGACAGGCACATGCAAGCTGTGTGTGCTGGTAGCTCAGAATGAGGAGACAAACCTTCCCTCTAGTGGCTGCACAGCCCCTGAGTCTTGCATTTACCTTCTCTCCCCACACCAAGACTAACAGCATTGTTTTCACCATCTCTTGGGCTCGATGTGAAATTTAAGAGCATGAAATGTACAAACACACCGTGGCTCTGCAGGCAGCCAGCAGTGTGATCCGTGCACAAATGCAGCCCAGGAACCAGCAAAGCCATGGCCATGAAAGGCCACTTGCCCACTTCTGCTGCAAGGATGGTTTGTGGAGCCAGTTCCTCAGCTCAGGTACTCCCCTTCCAGCAAGCATTTAGTGGGACCAACCATCAAGCCTAGAGCTTCTCTTGGACCCTGTTATTCTGGGTTTGTGTCCCAGTTTCAGCCTCATCTCCACCATAGTAGCAGCCAGCACAGATCAGACTCTTCTGCTCAAGTCCTAACTTTTTGTCCCCCCAAATGCTAATTCTGGAGTTACCTGACTAGCTGTCAGTCTCAGAAAAACTAATTCTAAAAAGCTTGTGATAATTCCTCAACACTATTAAAAAATACACAAACATAAAAACATGTTTAGAATATCCTGCTCATCAAGGAAAACAAATTTAAGACAAAACCACAGCAACAGGTTCAAATTAATATATCAACTAAGGAACACAGAAGTCCCAGAACAAATCTAGTTACTCTGTTTTTTTATCCTGAGAAAAACAGAGGCCACAGTATACATCTGTGTAAGGATCCTCACACACAAAGTAACAAAGAGGAATCTGTTTTAGAGTCCTATTCTCTTTGGTGGATGGACAAGCCTGTAAAAATTCCACAGAGATTAAAAAGCACTGGACCATGCAATTATAATGGTGGAGGGCATTTAAAATGCATTTACTGAGAAGAAACATTAATTGTTATCTGTCCCCTGATGTCAACAGAGGCCATTACATAGCTCCCCTTCTGTCACTTTCTTTCAGATTTCAAAACCAGAGCATGCAGCAGTAAGCTACAGGATGGGAAAAGGGCTCGCTCTGACGAAGTTGCACTGAAGTATAGGGCTCCATTTTGGCATTTAATTATTGTTGTTCAAATGGTCCAAGTCTTCATCTTGCATCAGTGCCAGACAGGCTTGACTATCAGTCTCCCAGGAAGTCTCCAGATCCTTTCTGCAGCCAAACCAAATTTGTAAAACAGAACAGAAAGGACATGTAGGAAACCCCTGCCTGCTGCTGGCTCGCTTCACCCACACCTGAGGCTCTATGGCTTGTCAGAAACCTGACCAGGTCTCAGTTCTTTTCCAAGTCCACTTTGCTCAAGCTCTGCTATAACTGACATATACTTAAATTCACTAGATCTGTGGTTGAAGGTCTCCACCAACTCGTAGGTCTGGGAACGCTCCGTCGCATAGAAAAGCTGCACCTGATTTGCCAAGCACTGTGCTTCGTGGACCACCTGTGAGTTGAAACAAAGAATGTGTTCCCATCAGGTTTTGTCTCTGAGTTTTGTCTCCATTGAGAAAGACTCTTCAGCAGCTGAAAGGCTGCAGCAGTGCTACTCATCGAATGACTTAATTCTCAGTCACCTCAGTTTAGCAAATCTCTCAACACACCACCTCCCTCTTGTTCCTGACCTACTTACACACTTGAGCACTGTGCCTCTCAACTACTCTCCCTCTGAGCACAAACCTCAGAGGCCTACGATGTCTTTCAGGATCCCTGCCCACTGAAAGCACCCCAAAGTCTCACCTTTCCCTTCTGACAGCTGACCTGTTTGCAAAAACTGATTGTGTACCCTGTTATAACAGGGCAAATGCATTAGCAGTGGCTGCTCTGTACACTGTTTCAGAGCTGGTCTCAGCAGGTCTGTTAGTGGTGGGATGCTCTATTGATCTTGTTCCATGTGCATAATCCCTTGTGCTATTAGTCCTACCACTGTCCTACTGCAGATACTCAAACAACAGCACAGCCACATGGAGGAAAAAGAGCCAAGGCACACACAGAAACCTAACACAGAGCTCTGCAGATCTCCTGATCTGACAAGTAGCATTAACCTTCAAAACTGTTCTAACTTGTTGGCAAGTAGCAAAAGCTTTCATTTAAATTTGCTTTCATTTAAACTCACTTCCATTAATGAGAAAAACCAGAAGCATTTATTTTTTTTTCTACAATAAACTATAATGCTCAAAGTAACAAAGAAAAAAAAGAATGCACGAGCTGCAATCATGAGACTAAACAAAGACTGACAATTTCCTTCTAGCTTTCCCCAGTATTAAGCAGATTAAAGAAATCTAGTAAGACCATTCTTTGGGAAAAGGCTTTTTTAAAGACTTCACTTTAATTTTGGTTTAATTCAAAGCTGTGGGAGGAGTTGCAGCATAAAATGAAAGAAGCCAACAAGCAAATTTCTCTTACCAAGAACTTGGAGTCCATTTCTGCTGTCATGAGTACTATCCCTTTTTCCTTCTGCAGCTCAGGATAATGGTACAAAACCAACTGGCTAGGAGCAGTTTCACCTTGGGTCTAAAGGAGACATAGAAACTTTTAGACCATTAAAGAACTTCAGGTCTACTGCAGATTTGGAGGCTGGATTAACAAACCTTTTGAGTATTAAGTGCTACGAGGCAGTCATTTTTCAGGGTCAATTCTAATTAAAAATTCCTGATTCTGGATATTCACAGAAAAGAAGGGATTTGCTGAATTAGATTGGGTTTCTTTCTTGACTAAGGACTATTGTGTATTTTTAAGACCACACAATTTCCAGAAACACATTTTATTTCATAGCACCTACTGGTACTTTAAGTAGCTTGCACAAACAGTTCCAAAAAGTTTGTCTTTTACTTCAATTTTGAAACTCTTTGACTTCTACCTCATTCTTCTTTAGATTAGAGAGACACTTACTCCCCATAAATTTACTAATCTACCCATAATTAATGGCAGTTTCCCACAATAATTATTTTCAAGTAAAGCTAGACAACCCGTTTGTTAAACTATTATATATTGTAATATGCTGATACATTTCTGGATCCTAAACCAGCATTTTTTGATGTCTTATTTCAACCACTCACCTGAATGTTTATTAGGGAAGTGAAGTGCAATTCTGTTCCTGACCACTGCCCCACAAAGAACTCGTAGCCTTCTTTTCTTGGCAAAGCATAAAGAAACTGCAGAGAAGTGATTAAAAAGTAATTCTCCCTTTCATAAAACAAAATTATACCTGTGACAAACTGGCCCCCAGTATAAACTCTTTAACAAGAAAACCAGGATAGAAAATTGTGTTTCTTTGACCCTCCTTCCCCCAAGAGTGACAAGGCAGCAGGAACCAGACTTCAAAACTGCTAATAAGCCATCACTAACCTTATCAGTATTCATAAGCAAATATGTTGGCACGTTTTTATGATTATTATGTGACACAGACAAAGGAAAGGACAGGATGGTGGAGAACATTCAGACTCCAACTTTTTCATTCACTTCGAGAAAATAAAAGGCAGAAATGGTCCAATAAAAGGTAAGAAGCATTCAGAGTTTTTACAAGCAGTTTCTCTCTAGAGGTTTATGGTCCATTTGGATCCCTAGGCTAGGGACTTGCTCATCTTCTGACACCAAGGCAAAGGACAGGCTTGGAGAAAAAAACTAGCAGGATACCTGACTAAATGCCAATGCACTGTACAGGAATGCATTTACAGCTATAAATAATTTTCCAAGCTCCAACTAGCTCAGGAAGCCAAATACATTTGGTCTTGCATGTGGCAAGTGAAATATACAGGACCAATCCATCAATTCCTAAAGTCTCCCATTCAATCTACAAAAGCACTGCTCAAGTCCAGCTACTTCATTTTCATAAAGAAGTAAAACATTTCTTTCCTGTCTCAGAACACTGAAATGTGCAAAAAGTCCATACTTTGGTGCACAGATTACTGTAGAAACATAACTTTCAACAGAAAATTATACTAATCCAGCAGCACGTGGTACAAAACTGCAGAAAGATATCCTTGATCTTGTTAGTTGTTCTGTTTACCTTCCTCAAAGCAACAATCTGCTCATTCATGCAGGAACCTTCTAATTAAAGCTTACAAGATACCCACCAATCCATGTGAGAAACAGTGAACCCAGAGAGTGGGAACCCACTCATCTCTCAAATAATCATACTGTGCATTCTCAGTCTTTTATGCTGTGCTGTGCTCGTGCACACCTAAGACACAACCCACAGGTTACTCTGTATCTTTAATAAAGGGTTTGCCTACACCTAATTCCCCCCTTCCTTCCCATCACAGTGGTGAATTACAGTGCTCTGCAGCAGAACTAACACTACTCAGCTGTGCAGCACATGCCACGCAGTCTTTTTTGACAGCTCATGCTCCCCTGGAGACAGAGATGGGTTATTTGTACACCACGGTGCCTGCTCAGTGTGGCTTCCATGCAAACAGCTCTTACTAGCCTTCCGGAAATTACCTATGAGACATCACCAGCGTGGTGAAGCAAGCATGGCTGTGAACATTTATGATCAGGAAAAGCAGGCTAACAGATTACAAGATTCAGGTTGTTTTGTGGACAGAATCCCAACATACTGATGTCTTGCCTTCTCCCCTTTCAGATAGCCCTGCCTATCTTCACTACCAGTAAACAAACATGAAAGGAAAGAGGAGCAAGTCACACCAACTGTAAGACAAGACAATTCACCTCCTCCACATCCATGCAATGTGATGCCACGGTGACATGTAGCTATAGCTAACAACAGTTCCTCCAGGGTAAAGCAAGAATGCTTTAAGTAGTAGGGAAATACATGCAGGACCATCAGTGAAGCTGGACTACAAGTCCTGGCTCATGACAACACTGCACAGAAGAGATTTAACCACATGACATCAATTCATGGAAACCAGAGGCATGTAGCTAAATCTCCTCCCTGAGAGAATCTGTGCTCTCCTTTCTGAACATCTTTCATATCTAGATACCTAACACCTAGACCAAACTGTTTAATACATATGAACAGCCATTGCTTTTACCTGAACACTAAGACAAATATTTGAACACTTGAATATTACTAATCAAGATGATACAATGAGTATGAACACAGGAAAGTCAAAAGTTTCTAAGTCAGGCTTTATAGGGAGGAGAAATGCATGACAGTCATACATCCAGGCACTGTTAGTCTCTGCCATACGTACCGATGGACACTTCTCGGCTCTCTTCCGTATTAAATCAAACTTCTCTGCCTTTGGAGAAGGAGAAAGAAATTCAATTTTCACAATACAAACATGGATGCACAGCTATTCAGAATCACCTCATTTACCTTTATAGGGTACAGCTTCCTTTTACAGAAGGGCTCACTGTGGGAATGGCCAACAAGCACATGGAAAACTGTATTCAGTTCTTAGCTGCCTAAATGTCATGGGTGCCTTGCTTCAACAATGCTGCCTCTAGGATGCAGCAGCCAACTCCTTTGATCCAAACCATAATTCCTTAGATTGGGGGGCTCACACTTTAGATTTACATTATGTCCTCTAATACCTCCACTGCACCACGTTGGTGTCAACAGCTGAGCAAGATGACATACCCCTGGCCCAAAATTGTAGAATTTACCTCAAAGTCATCTGTTCTCCAGTGTTAAAATACAGCCTAGACAGTTACTCAAATAACATACTTATTGCTTAGGTTTATATTAAAATCACAAATACATTTGGTCATCCCTGATGAAACCTGGCCATCTCACTCATGTGTCCCCTGAGTTCCCCCAGATCTCTTGCCTGCTCTTCTCCTCCCAGCACCATCTATTAATACCTACTCTAAGGAGTTCACAAAAGAAAATACACACCATTTGTCAACACCAAGTTTCTCCATGAGTGCTTTGGTGCACTGGAGAATGCAAGGCCTTTCTTCCAGCCAACAAAAAGCTTCTGGCAATAGACAAAGGGTTTTTTCCCCCCTCGATGACACCATGAACTTCTTCCTAATGTGCCTAGGATCTGGCTTTCATTAAAGGATTAAAAGCTTCCAAAGTTTCTCTAAAACAGTGCACCAAAGAACAGTGCCAGCCCCACTAATGAACAGTCTTAAATGGAGTCCCTGGCCTTGGCCCTCTGCTACAGTACATGTCCAATTCCAACTATTTTCACAACATCCACATGAAGCTGCCTGACTTCAAATCCCACGTTGCCATTTTCAGAGCTTACAGCACTTCATATGTTTAGGACACAGCCTCCCACCCACCTCAGCTGCAGCTCCAAGGGCCAAGTACAATTGCAAATCAGACCCCAGATCTAAATGAGGTTTCAAGAACTCAACACACAGTTCATGCCCAGCTGTGAAAAGACAGATTTGAGAGCTCACGATCACATAAGACACTTTCAAGCAAAGAATAAAAAGAAATCCCCAAAGTGCAAAAAACTCATGCAGATTAACAACAATTAACATCTGGTAAAATTATGAGGAATAAAAAATATGACCTTATCACAGGAAGCACCATGCAGTCTCAATGAAAGACACTGCTGCCAATAATTTGAAATGTATGAAAGCAAGTCATAAGTGATCAGCCACGTGCAAGTTATAAGCCAAGTGCTCTAATACTGCCATTTAAACTTGAGTTGGCTGTCTGTGCTGTAGGGAAGAGGGGAAAGAAACAAGCAAGCCTGAGAAAAAATGAAGTGAAAATTCAAATGCTCCCTTAATAGATAGTGGGGCCCTGCAAACAGAATTGGATAGTCATAATAAAAAAATGCCTGGAAATTCAAGCCAGGCATGCAGAAAAAGTTACTAGTTTTACTGAGACTGATGTAAGTGAGAAAAAAGGAATATATGTTTTTGGAAACAAAAGCCTTTACTTGGGGTAATAAAAATCACTCAATCTGCAAAGCAAGTGTGTTCTTGAAACCTCATTTTCCTTCAATGATTGCTTTTAAAAGCAAGAGAATTACAGCTGGAAACGAAAGCTTTGCACAATGGCCTTTCAAGTGCATAACTACAGGGCAACAACTTACAGGAATGACAGCATAAACTGTATCTTTTGCAGAAAAATACTGATTCCAAATCTGTAGGAAACAAAAGCAGCAGTTAAAATCAAGCATCCAGCAGTAATATTAAATGCTTTAAAAATAATTCCATTTGTCAACTAACGCTTGTAAGCCCTTTCAGAAGTAAGTTTTCAGTCAAGCCTGGCTGACTGTAGCACTAGGTAACAAAGATCAGCAGTGGGCTCAGAGGTGACTCAACATTTACTGGCTACCAGAAGTGCTTCTTCCATTTTTGCAGACAATCACACTTATGATTTCTAGAGGGTTGATTTGATTTTTGTGTTGTTTTATTTACATAAAGACCATTCAAAAATGTTTCAACAGAAAACTCTGCATAACACTCCTGTGTTCACAGGATTTTTCTTCACCACAGCAGGATGGCAGTACCTACATAAAAGCCCAAAGTCCTTAATAAATGGACAAGTACAGGAAAAAGCCCAGAGTTCAGGACTTTTTTCTGTTGCTCTTTCCCGGTCCTACATAACTAATGAGAATTGTCAGTAAAATGTTTAAACAATGAAACAGAAGTAGAAGAACTTGAAGGTAACTCATGAGTTATCAAGTCCCTGCTACCATCTCCTGCACAGCATCTAACCACTTCTGTAACGTTCTTGAGCTGTCAGGAAAGCAGTTGGGTTTCTGCTCTCCAAGTTGTGCCAGAAGGCTCCTTCATATGTTCTGCTACCCTGACACAATCACACCAACATTTCTTGCCGTACAGTCTAAGGAAAAAAAACACCACCAAAGCTACATCAGAAATGTGCAACAGATGTGGTAAGCTGCAACCAGATGAAGGGGGATACAGTGCAAAGCCAAGCACATACTAGGGAGAAGGACTTGACTCACACCACTCTTCCAACAAACAGACCCAACCACCTCTTCCTTACCCTAACCAACTTCAGTGGCTCTGAATGAAAGGCAAATACTGCAATCCAAGGTATGAGGTGGCAAAAGCTCTGGTTTTATTCCTGCAAAACTGATGTAGCACAATCCATATAAACTACTGCTAGGATTTCCCTTCACCTGGCTTCAAACCTGACAGGAGATGGCTAATGCCAATTCAGCTGCTACACCTTAAATGGCAACTGTATGAATTATAGAGCAATCAAGTCCAAATCTATTATTCGTCAAGGTACATCCTAGATGGACTTACCTATAAGGAGAAAACTTTTATCTTCTACTATTGATAAACATGTGAATGTGATTTTTACAAGTACACATCCACAGCCATGTTTTATGCTTCAGTCTAAGGAAAATGTCCAGCCTTACATGTTGGTTACTACTAAGCACAGATGTAGAGCAAACTTTATTCCCTTTAAATCCATCACCTGTTTTATCTCCTCCGCTGATTTTTCTTTCACCATCTCAACATTAAGAATTGAATCAAGTGTCTGCAAGAGAAAGAATAAGGAATTTGCCATGATGCCAGTTCTCTGATTGAAGTGAAAATCCAGAATGGATGGATGCAATTACAGAGAACAAAATGAAGCTAGAGGAACTTAATTCAATTTGGAGTGTTAGTCCTGTTAACTGTCAAAGAAAACAGTAAATCACATGCAGTAACACACTGAGAAGAGGATCCACACACTGAGGCAGAACAGGAGAGATTCTGTCAGGACACAGAACACACTTTTCTCCAGTTATGCAAATCACTCTCTGCTGAAGCTGCAAGAGGAGCTTCAGCCTTTCACCTTCAGCCATCTCAGACATGTGCTCTGTTGGCAGATTTACACAGTTTACCAAAATAAAAGAAAGTGAAAGAGAGTAAAACTGTTCCCTTGTCCCTCTGCTGGCTGATCTTCAGAGATTTATTTACATGCTGCAAAGGCAGCTTAACCCTTTCCATTTATTACTGTGAGCACTCAGTGGAGATCCCCTGACTAGTACAAACTCCCAGTGTGTCAGAGAGAAAGGACAGCATAATAAAAACTAACAGTGTAGGAGTTTTAAGATTGAACATGACCCCGATAGTAAATTAAAATTTCTTACTCAAGTGCAGCATAAGGAACAGTAGCTTTACATCAAGAAGGTCTTGGCTGAAGCACTGACATTAGCAATACAAGTTAATTTCTGTCCTTGACAGCAGGTCCTCTCCCACCTTAGGTTCATTTTTCCTACCTTATCCTTTGTGAATCCTCCCTTTGATGTCTTTGTGCCCAAGCCTTTTGCCTAGAAGAAAAATATTCTTCTTTAGCTTTTTTAGCTGATGCTTTAATACCATTTATTTGTCTTCCTTGCATAACGTGCCTACTCCTGAGTAGGAGCTCAAGTGCATTTTTAATGACATAAATTATTAACCAGGAGAAGTAAATAACAAGATTAAGTTACTTAATGTGAATGATGAATTTCAAGACCAGAAAGGATTAGTCAAAAGGTAAACTATGATGCATTTCTGATCCAATATTATTGAACAGTTTTCTTGCATTCACTAAAAAATGTTAAATGCAAGATCACATCACTCCATCTGGCCACACTAATCTGGAACTAATTAAACACTTAAACAAGGCCTCAAGCACAGAATTTGCAGTCTAAAAAATAGCTAAATACTACAATGGAACAGAACAGTATTTTTAGCCACCAGAGTGTGAAGCTCCAGGGCTCCTTACCAACAGTATCACTGTATGGTTGCAGCATTATGCTGATCCCATGTAAATGACATTACAACATTGAGATACGTGAACTACAAAGAAAATTGGCCTTGCCTTCTCCTCCATGCATCTGATAAATTCTCCTTGATTGGAATATCCCACAGGCTGTTTTTTCACTTCATTTCTTTTTTCCATACGGGATTCAAACACATCTGGGCTGGATCTGAACGGGGAAAGGGACAATTGACAGTACCAGGCAATTAACATCATCTGGCCTTTTGAAATGCTCACTTGGGTATTGAGTCACATTCTCAACTTAACATTTTCATTTCTTCTTAGTAAAACTACCTCTGGTAGAGCTGACCGTGTGGGGAGATGACCCCACGACTGAGTTGGTGCAAACCACATGTCAATGCCAAGGCAGCATTTGGCCTGAATGAATCAATTCTTCATTCATGGCCAGGGAGGCTGTGGCTGCCCCGCTCCTGGGGGGGTCCAGGCCAGGCTGGATGGGCCTGGCATCTAGTGGAAAGTGTCCCTGCCCATGGAGGGGGGTGGAACTTCATCATCTTCAGGGTCCCTTCCAACCCAAACCGCTCTATGATCCTGTGAATCTTGTCGTAAGGACGCAAAGCTAAAAACAACCCCCCCTCTTCCCAAAAACCAGCCAGCCCTTCCTTCCTTCCCCCCCTCAGGGCCCGCACCTCCACGAATCCGGATCCAACAACCCCCTAGGAATCGTGTCAAACTGTGACAAAATTCCATTCCACC